GTTTGGGATTGTTGCGGGAGGCGAAGGTAAAGTGGAGGGAAGGGACAAAGAAACCCACAGCACAGATGACATTGGGGCCGGCTCCTTGCCATGTCAGCTACTGTGTCCAACCGAACGTGCTCATCGTCCTTTGGACCTCAGTCTGGCAGTCGGAATGCATCAACCGACACCGACATCGAAGTGAGGGTTTTCATCCTTCCTGACCAACTCATCGCTTGGCCTCCCGTCTGCTTCCATCCAGACCTAGGGCGCGCAAACCCCGCACGATACAGGAGTCGGTGGGCTGGAATGCCCATCATGTTGCCCAGCCATCGGAGCCTGGTGCATGGTATACTGATGCTTAGTGGATCTCGCGCTCTTCGTGCACCTAATTCGCGGCGCCAAACACATTCCTTAATCACGCGGTTTTCCCGATATACATGACCTATGCAATTTGTTGGTAACTTGAATCAATACCTAACCGGCTCTCCAATAGGATTTCGGCCGTTCCTTCGGAGTGTAGCATCACTTTCAATATTTTGGGCCGCAACTTTTGTACTTTAGTGATGAAGGAGTTCTCGTCCAATATTCAGCGGTAACGTCGTCCAGAGTATGGCGCATGTAGCAGCACTGTTCTTGGTCTTGTGTTTGTACTTCGTGGTCAGAATCTGGTAGTGCCAGCACACCAGGAACAAATAGGGTTTTCGTACTTCCCTTTGTGGAAGCTGGCCGTTGTCGTCCTTTACCATTCCCCGCCCTTTCTAGGGAACATCTGACTGTATGCGCACCTCGAGGAGTTGCGGTGGCGAACTGCTGAGACTAGGATGTCTCTATATCGTCTACTGATTTCAATGTCACTGGAAAAATCGAGGTTCACCATAGTGCACTGAAGTTGGGTGGCGCGTTCCGCGTCTCAGCGTTGGGAAGTCTAAACACATGGCTTAAAGCGAGTAGTGTGAGGCGCAGTGGAGGATAATACTGCTAGGTCGACCGTCAGCATCTCTACTCTGGTGGGCGATTCCAGAGAGCGAATGCAAAGGGGCCGTATTCTTAGCTGCCCACTGTTCATTCATGTTGCGAAAGTGTGACTAGTAATGAGTTGTCAAATTTGAGGATAATCGCGGATGCCAGCTTTCATTTTCGTCATACTCGGTTTAAGAAAGGATTTACAAATATAATTGGAACAGGTACCATTTGTTCTAAGGCTTTAAATTTTTTCACCAGCTCTAACTCTATATCAAGGGGTGGAAGAATCATGTTTTCTCTGTCTACCAAAGGCTTCATGGTGGTGTTCACTGCGCCTACCTTCAGGTTTTCCCTAGTAGGCCCAGTCACTTCCTTCCAATGTTGGTGTTTACTGTTTTGAAAGCAGATGAAGTAAAGATAATTCGCCTATCAACTTTGTGATCCGATAAAAAGGTGCAACTTTTTTAAATTCCAGTAAACAATCCAGTACTGAGTATATCGATTGAAGGCTTTCATAATTTATTTATTTATTTATTTATAATCACAGTACAGAAACAACAATCATGCTAATGGCTTGTCGGTTCGCTCCAAACACCATAGGCACACTAGGGCATAAGCGTTTCATTGCACCAATGGTCCACTTGCGATGACACTGTATACAGGCTTTGCAGACCTTATGATGAGGAGCACAGGACTTCTGCTGTCCTCCATGTTTTACCCCAATCTATGCGCAGTATGCTTTACTCACAACGGAATGATGGTACTCTTCTGTTTTGCCCCAACCTATTCTCCATAAATGTTGCAATATACATCAAGGTTGTTCAAACAACTACATTGAGAACCACTTATCTATCTGTGCGATAAACAAGGGACACTTTAAAAATTTAGTTGTTAGTAGTGTCAATTTGTTATTAACCGTTAACTATTATAACCCAAATACTATAGCCAATTTGAGAAAACTGCATTCGAAATTGAAATGAGCACAGCCGAAATACCATAAATCCTTTTAACTATTCGCTACAGCAAGGCAAAGGCATTTGTTGTTGACCACTGTTATCGTCAATGTTATTTTACTTGAGGTCCTGATAAAACAGACCAAATCCCCATGGCTGAAAATTCATCCATCCCCCTTTGGGTACATCAACGTACATCTTTATCAAGCGCTACAGTTAACAAATTAGGAAGCTTGACTCATGTAACCATCTATGCTCTGACAGTTTCAATGCATGAAACGCAAGAGGGGTTTGCAGATCTGACGACCCAGAATGGAATGAAACGGGTGTAGCGGCTGTCTAACTGATTGTAATGCATCTGTTTGTAATTTCTTAGACTTATCAACTCCCTAAGTTTCAGATATTCCTATTAGATCCCTTCAGTTGACGGGGCCATCAAACGAGTTAGCTTACCTCATTTAGGAACTACCTCTTACAGCAGCAAACATTGTGACACTCGGAAGCTATATACACGTAAACTGCTTCTTTTAAATCAATGCAAATTGTTCTGCATGTTATACGGTTGTAGACTTTTAACCTCAACACCAATTAGAAAGCATGCGGTGTTGTGTATGTGAACGACATTTAAGTAGACTACAGTAATTCATCGCAATACTAGGTGGTTACGAAAGTATCACCATAAATTGACTCCGACAATTAACTTTCCCCAATTACCTAACTTGGGACTTTTATGGGTGTAGGCTGCATGCGATACTCATTAAAGCCTGAGGCTTTTCTCGGATGTAATTACCGCATTTCTTCCGAGCTCCTACTGCTAGTATACACATGCTGGTTGGCTATTATTCTTAACGGTTGACATTCACCGCAAAAGGATACCATGACTCGATCGTAGACATTCGCTATGACACCTAACGATAGGTAAAGGCGAGCAAAGATTCCAAACACCCGATGAGTTATGGGCACTGACTGGCATCTTAAGCTCTGGCGGCAGCGTGTTTTCCTTAACTTCGTAAAAGAAACGTTGCAAGAATGGGGTGATCGAACTACACACAGTGTCGATTGCTGTCATCTGGAATGATTGATAGTGCAAGGGGCTAACGTGACATGTTCTCATTATCAGAGAACAAAATATTCCTAAGCACTAGCTATTACCGCGATCCAAACCGAAAGCCGAACAGACAGAAAACTATATCGCGCATTCTGCTATTTTGAGAAGGATCGAGTTGTGGTGCCAGTGGTCTGCCTAAGTTTCAACCGAAAGCCCTCATAATGTGATGAATCATGTCTCACTTATTGTGTAAGTGGTCTGTAGAATATTGTTACTTACTGTTTGGTAAAATGAGCCCAGACGAACGTTTTCAGTCTGCTACCCCAGAACTCCTTGGCTAAAACTGCTCCCTTCGGATACGTGAATATATTCCCGGTTAACTCAACCGTAGGCCAAGAGAAAACGGCATAAACAAGTCATCAAATTTAAGTTAACGAAGCATGTATCTTCATTCCACAAGCAACTTTTGATTTTTGCAGCTAATCGCTGATCTCACTGTTTTAAAATGCCTTTCGGCTATTATAGAGTACTTCTGTATACTTAGATTAGTGAACTTATCACAGTTGATTGTCACTCGTGAATAGAAGATCGGTGGACAATTCCAATTATTGATGAATTCCGGTGCAGCGTACCTACAGGAAGCAAGCAGTAGTGAAGCCCGGAATGCAAAATAATACGGCGGATGGTTCAGTTTCACACAACGGATCGAACTTATTGTGGCTTCGGATTGGTCAAAGTCACGAGGTGAGGGCACGGGTCATTACTTGCAAAGCATGGTAACCGGGCCGTTAAGGTCACAGTACAGATGTGGTACGTAAGAGGGACTCAGGGATGTCCTATCTCCCAAATGACCTCACGTTGGGGTTAAAAAATTCACGCTTGACACATGTACCATGACTAAAGCGAAGAGGTTCTGAGTGATCTCCGTGTCTCGTGTACACTTGGCGGGGATCGGGCACGGACGGGAAACCGAATAGTGCCAACGGATCTTCACGTAACACTGCAGTCAACTAATATAATGTGTAGTGGGTATTTGGGTGTAATTTCAAATATAGTTCTTCGCAGCTCCCTCTCCATCGAGCAGGTTCCCACACGTCTGAATATGCAGTACACAATAGCAATAAAAAATCCGCAAGTGCTGTGTCGTACGCAGCCGCTATGCGGAAAGTTGTAGCTCTGGGGCCAGCCATTGTCCTATGCACAGTTCATAACTGGCAAGCCAATGGAGGATAAGCCGCGCCACATCGTAGTTAACGGTTACCACAGCCATCCCTCATGGGTTAGTGCATCCGCTGGCATCCGGGGTCGAAACCTGACAGTAGTCCGAGCGACCCGGACCCCCAATGATACCAAGAAGATTGAAACGACCGTCTTGTCCTTTTCCAGACTTGTGGGAGCCAGCCTGACGGAGGGGTGACTGTGACGAACTGGGACCAATATAACTTACTTTTTCTCTAAATACATGCAGAATTCGGGCCTAGTGCAATCAGCCCTTCTGGTACAATGCTAGTCTGAAAGTTGAGAAGATTATACTTTTGCTTTTGAACGTGGCGGTGACCCGACCATGAGGACAAATGCGACTATTTAGCTATGAGTAAGAGTAAAACTATAAGTTGAATGTTATGCTACGGGACCAACTAAACGAATGCATTGATTATACATCTTTTCACCAAAATAGGAATGTGTGTGAGAAAGTTTGCTTGACTCTAAAAATGTTCCAAGCTGACACTGATAATAGCGTGAACACAGATTTTTACGCTGTCCGAATAAGTTATTTAATGTTTTATGCACGAAAGCGTCAAGTAGCACACTAGTTTTCTGTCATGTTTGTCTTTATCATAGCGGTGAGAAGTTTACTTAGCACAAAATGGAATAACTGTTTTGTCCTCAGACGATTTATCGAATAGCTTCTGTGCACAATATATTCTGTACTTACGTGAGAGTAGACATCAGAAGAGTGTTTAGCTTCTCCTAAGAACATACCCGTCTTTTACAACTGGTGAGTTTCCTTACTGGTCACATATGAGATAGTAGCGTTTATTTCTACTTGATAGATCCGCAAACTTTTGGGGGCCCTCAACGTTCCACTGGGAATGTTGCTGATCAGTGCAATGAATCAAATATTCTTCCTGGGAGTGCAGTTGCCCACAGTGGACATACCACCGTCGAATGAGGTTGACGCACAGCGCTGGTTCAGTGTGCCCAGTTTTCATCAGCTCTTGGATTATGGCGTCGCGTCTCCAGCTTTGATACACGGTGTTGGAATCGCAATTGGTTTGGCATTAGCTATCATCATATTTACTGAAGCGGCTCTTAATGGGTAAGTACCCTTCAATGCTTCTACATTAGTCTTTTTAGTGAAGCAGTCGTAGACTGAATTTAGTAGGACATGTACTGTGCAATTCTGTATGGTGTTCTATGTACCAGCTCTATCTGTCTGCATTTCGATTATGACCTGTGGCCTCTTCCCTGGATGCTAATGCTCATCATCATCATCATCATCATCATCATTATCATCGTCATACACGTTAGCCAGAGGTGGGGAACACCTCAGCTACTGTGCCGCAATACATAGAAAAAAGGAGAATAAAGCAACTGGTGCAAGCCAGCTGAGCTACCGGTAACGGAAGAGCATCGTTCTGGTAAGCTACCAGCCGGCTACTGTGCATCAAAAAATTGCTATGCAAAATTATATAAGGCTAAATAATGAGATGGTGGTTAGAAGGGGTGTCCAAGAGGGATGGGGTGGGACAAAGAAACTCACAGCACGAACGCCACTGAGGTCGGCTCCTAGCCATAGCAGCAAGTGTGTCCAACCAAACGTGTTCATCGTCTTTCGGACCCCAACCAAGGATCCAACCCAGGTCAGCTCAGAAGTGAGGGCCTTCATTCCTCTCGACCAAGTCATCGCTTGGCCACTTCTCCTTTTCTTCCATCCACATCCCCGGCGCGCAAACAACGCACGTCGCGGAAGTCGGTGGGATGGCATGCGTAACACGTGGCCGAGCCATCGGAGCCTGGTGCGTGAAATAACGGTGCTGAGCGGTTCAGTTCCTTTTCCTGTGCCGTAAACAAGGCGTCGAACACGCTCGTTGCTCACGCGGTGTTCCCACCAGATGTGAGCTAAATTGCGAAGGCACCGGTGATCGAACGTAACTAGCCTCTTCAGGTCCGTTGCTTTAAGGGACCAGGTTTCACAACCGTACAGTAGGGTCGAACGTACCGCTGCATTGTACACTCTACCCTTCAGGGCAAGAGTGATGTCGCACCGCCGCCATAAGTGGCGAAGGTTAGCAAAAGCGCCCCGAGCTTTTGCTATACGGCTCGTGATCTCATCTTCAATCCCACGGGCGCTGATACAACTTCCTAGGTAGTTGAATTTTTGAACGACTTCTAGCTGATCCCCACCAACGGTCAGCCAAGGAGGCGGTCCAGACCAAACTTGGAGAAACGCTTTGCACTTCGAGGGTGCGAAGCAAAACCCGAAGTGACGGACTGCTAGTGCTAATCTGTCCAGTGCCGCTTGGCACGTCTGGGAGCTGTCACAGATTAGGGCAATATCATCAGCATACTCTAAGTCAAGAAGTCGTCCTCCTGGGAGCAGATCCACACCTTCTAATTCGTGTCCTGCGAACGCGATTTCCATGACTTCGTCAACAGCGAAGTTAAAAAGGAAAGGTGACAGCGGGCATCCTTGTCTCACATCGCTGGAGATATTAATGAGCAACGACAACTTGCCGTAAGCCCTCACTCTGCCCGAGCTACGCGCATATAATGCTCGGATAATATTTACATATCTCTCAGGTACACCATTCCTGAGTAGACAGTCCCAAAGTGCATGTCTATCCACCGAATCGAATACACCTTTGATATCGAGGAACAAGACAACGGTGGGCCGCCAATATATGTGACGGTGCTTCAACAACTGACTCAAAGTGAAGATGTGGTCGATGCAGCCACGACCTCGACGAAATCCAGCTTGCTCTTCACGAATCTGGCTTTCACGCGTGCCAGTCAGTCTGTGAAGGATGACAGAGGCAAGCAGTCTGGAGGCGATGGAGATCAGACTGATTCCTCTATGGTTGCCGCATTCCGATCGTGAGCCTTCCTTGAAAATTGGGACTATGACGGAGTGGCTCCAGTCGGTTGGGACAGTTTCCTTCTCCCACAGTTTAACTAGCAATTCGTGTAAATTATCCACAAGAGCAGGTCCCCCAAATTTGAAGAGGACTGGAGGAAGATCATCAGGTCCCGCGGCATTATTTAACTTCAACAGTCCGATCTCACGTTCGACTTCTGAGCGAGAGGGTGGATCCAAAGGGGCAACCCACGGAGCGGGGCGATCAGTGGTCGGCGAGAAATCTAACAATTTCGGCCGATTAAATTGCCTTTCAAAGTGCTCAGCCCAACGCTCCAAGCGTTTTGACAAGTTGTGGATAGGCTGTCCACTCTCGTCACAAGTTGTTGTACTAACATCAAGTCTTCTGTTGCCCCATTCCCGTATCAGACGGAATAGCTTACAATGGTTACCAAGGGCAGCGGCCATTTCCATCTCTGATGCACGATGGGACCACCAGGATTCGCGGTCTCTCTTCAGGCTAGCACGGAGTTTTGCCCGGAGCTCTTTGCGAGTTTCATTGTGTTCGCTTCCAGCCGGAATATGCCGGCGAGCATCTATAAGTTCCAGAGACTGTGAAGAGACCCAATGTCCATGTTGGTGATTAGACATACCACATGAGGATTTGCCCGCTGCTAGTAAGGTCTGGTGAATATGAGACCAGTGAGCTTCAATTGCATCCAGTGAGCTTTCTCCAACTCGCATGACAGCGTACTTCGATACGCAATCAGAACAGCTGGCTTCGCCAGTTGGCTGGTGTCAATGCGCTCACAGCGTCGTCTTGGGCGTCCGCCAAAACGCATCCGCATGTCAGCACATACAAGTGCATGATCGGTATCCACACCTGTGCTCCAAATCGAGCAACAGTTCTGGATGCAGCGTCTCCAGCGGTAACTTACCGCAATGTGATCGATTTGCCTCCATAGCTGGTTCGAGGCTGGTGGGCGCCAAGTCACCCTCCGGCGGGTGTTGTGTCGGAAGTTAGTGCTCGCAAGAAATAAGCGAGCATCCTCACACAAATGAAGTAACCGCTCACCGTTATCATTACGAGAGCCTACACCATGTTGGCCGCCCAGATGCAGTTCATCAGTGGATAATTTTCCAACTTGAGCGTTCAGATCCCCAGCCAGCACTACAGTGTCCGAGCTTCTTCTGTGGCGAAGGAGTTCGTTCAGTTGGCGATAGAAGTCGTCTTTTACCGAGTCATCGCTACAGTTTGTCGTTGCATAGGCAGCGATAACGAATAGACACCTGTTCGAAGTTTTGAACGAGCAACCCAATCTGACCACACATATCCGGCTACTGATTGGAATCCAATCAACCAGAGCAGTTTCAGCCCGGGGACTCAGAGCAATACCAACACCGGCTTGGCCGGTGCTCCAAGCTGCATCGTCACCGGATAGGCGCAATGAGAAAGTGCTGCTAGTGTCATCTGAAGGGGATCGCAGAGTGAGTACAGAGCTCGAGTCTTGCAGGCGGGTCTCCGATAAGCAGTAGATATCGATCGAGAGGGTCTCTAATGTTCGGGCAAGTGCTGCCTCTTGAGCAATCTGAAGCAATGTGCGAACATTGAGACATGCCAATCTGAAGGAGGATCGTGGGCTCCAAATGGAAGCCGATGAACTGGGCTTGATCGCGTGGTTGGACTTGGGCCTGTTGACGGGGTAGGAATGACGCTCCGCGTTCACATGTGAGTTGAAACTAAAAGATAAGCGACTATTGAAGCAACGTGGGGGAGGGCCGGAAATTGGGGAGTTGAAAACAGGGGGGGATAAAAGTGAAGCTGGAACGGGACGATAAGAATGAAAAAGCGTAAGAGGGGAATAAGAGGACGGGAAGGCTTGAGCAGTAGCATTCAAACCCCTATCCACCCTGCTCGATGCAGCAGATAGGGCACCGTTGATTATCCTCTGCGGTGGCCAGAGCATCAGAAATTTGTTGGAAGTGAGATTCATGCTAATGCTAAGCTTGGTAAATAAAAGAAGCATCCAGTTCAGTGCCATTTCATCGAAACACTGGTCGAGGTACCTCGGATAGGATAATTTGAGTAACCGGGTTTCAAACTAACCAGGCATACTGATGCGTATGCTCAGACGTTAACACCAGATGAACAAAGATTTAAACTGTCAAAAAAACATGACTATATTGAGTTCATTTGTGTGGGTACATTGTCGAGTATTTGTGTTTCCTTAATGAAGACAAACACGTTGGTGGCGAAATGTCGAGTTAAGAAGTGCGGTTACTTATCATTGGATACCTTGCTCATTAAACAATAACAGTAATAAAATATACAACGGATACTTATCTCAAAGGGCCATATGATAACAATTTAAAGAGTATCTAATTTGCTAGAAGGTTTACAGAATCTATGGATGCGCTACTTGAGGATTACTCTTGGAAGCATGGAATGGCACAATAATAATCCGGTTGACCATTTTGCGTTTGAAAAGTAAGAAGGCACCAACAGTGCTCCGATCGCCTTATTGGCTCCTCGCCTCAGCGCAAACTTTGCCAGTCGGGTGCGCGTTAGGAATATTAGAGGGCCAAACGCCCATAAGCATATGCGATCCGGTTTCAGAGTGCAAGCAGACGCCTTATACTTTGACACAATCGATGGTCGGAAGCTATCTACGCGAAATCAGCAAACCGTTTAGAAAAATAAGAAGGCAACTAAAAATGGGCGAGCAAAACGTTTGTTCCTGAAACAAACGATCTCGCTAAGCTGAAGGGCGCACGAGAAAAGCTAGCTAGGGAGAGGAGAAAAGGATGTTCCTGGATCGTGGGAGGCAGCATTCGGGTTGCGTTCTGGAGGTGTATGTATATAAGCAGAAGCAGTCAACATGTTATATTCAAATTAGGTACAGAATGAAACCCTAATTTTCAGATATTTTACACATCATAGAACCACCTCACTTGGAAACCTCTATGTCGCTACATACTAATCAGCCAAGTGCAGATAAATGAGGCCCACCTGTAAGTAACAAACCGGTGACTATACTGAACAAAGTTTTGGTGATTCCGTTAACTGAACCAACGTATGGATGCTGCAAATAGCAAACTTACAATTGAGCACTATGTACTAAACTTTGTTCAGTTATGGGTATTTCCCATATACATCGCACTGTCTCCGTTGCTGTATGCTGATATGTCGAACGTACCAAAGATTTCTCTTTACTGACGTAGCTGATACTATTCACAATTTG